TTCTAGGACAGCTAGGGCTACAGGGAGACCCTGTCTCAAAAAAGACCAAAAAAATAAAAAATAAAATAAAATAAAATAAGGATCTAGACTATTTGTAACTTTCAGTCTCTTCAAATAAATCACGCAGGCTTTTCTCTGCATTTTCTTTTATTAAACTTTCAATCAAAATGCAAAAATAAAAATTTAAATTTTCTAAAACAAACAAATTTTCATTTTGGCCTAGACATTGAAAGCAGGCTTACCCATCCCTAAGTTTTCTGAAATCCGACACACTCCGGCAAGGTTCCTCAAGGTTGTTTTCTGCCAATTGACGGGAAATGTGTGTACCTGGCTGTTAAGACGCTGCCGGAAGTGAATGCCAAATCCAAAGAGAGCATTCTGGGAATTGTAGTCCACTACAAAAGACTGCTCCTCGCAAGAATGTGGAAGACAAAGACAGCCTAGGAGATCACAGAATTTTAGAGCTAAAATGAACTTTGGAAACTAAGCTTTATCTTGTGAGTAAGGGTTAGGCCAGAGTTCACTGTCCCACGCAGAAGAAGGAGTATGACTTCCACCCTCTGCCATTTCTACTGACTGCAACAGAGGGAACCAATTTACTAAGTGGGAAAACAGACAGGCACAGAATAGAAGCTGTTTCTTCTAGAACAGCTACCAAAAGCCTAAGCTCCTGACTTAGACTTCTGCTTGACTTAGCTTTAAACACAGAGGCTTTTGGTCCCTTCTGTCTCCTGCACAACACAGGCAGAAGATATACTGGCTGGGATCTGGGGACAGAACCCCTCCAAGTGACTGCCAGCCTTACATCACTTCTAGCAACAGTGTTTCCTGCTGTGGTAAGCAGAGAAAATGACACTAATCATACAGTAATGCACAGTAGCCAACAGTGGAGGCTGATAGCACTGCACCAGGTAGAAGGAACAACCAATTCCAGCATGAGGAGGTCCCTCTGACTCCAGTTGACAGGCCCAATTTATCACTCATAATGAAAAGGGGCACACACAGACACAGAAAAACCAGAAATGATGAGTGGAAAACAGAACAAATATTCCTACAAAATTCCAAAGTGAAGAACAGGCTCTAGTGATTATCATTTGCAGACACTGTTTGATTACCTAGTTAATCCACTGGAAAGTCTCAACTGAAAATTGTTATAATGACAGACTCTGATTAGATGACTAATAAGTTATTATGGTTAGTAGCTTGCTCACATATTAGAAATACCCAAACTAACAATGATGGGAGTTTCCAGTCTCAACTCTGATAAGAGCTTGGGTATGGTGGTGTACACCCGTAATCCTAGCATGTGGGAGACAGAGGCAGGAAGACTGCCAGAGACAGGTCTAGTCTACATAGCAAACAAAAGGCCAGTCAAGAAGATGGCTTACATTAATAAAAAGATGGCTTTGAAAAAAGGCAGGGGTGTGTGTGTGTGTCTGTGTGTGGTGGTGGGGTGGCACCCTGGAGAGATGGCTCAGTAGTTACAAGCAGTTGCTGCTCTTACAGAGGACCCAGGTTCAGTTCCTAGCACCCTTGTGGCAGCTAACAACCATGCAGGCACTGCATGATACTAGTGACTAGTGCACTTACATATATGTAGGCAATACACTCATATGCATAAAAATATTTTTAAATACCATATTCCTACCTACAAGAAAAACAGAAGAAACAAAAACTACAAAAATAATGGCTTTCCACAGACCATCAGGGAAATGAGACCACCAACAGCTCCCTTAATACAGAATCACAGGCCAAATTAGTCTTCATGGGGCAGAAACTACAGAAGACACAGGTTGGTAGGAACTCCAAGAGTCCTGGATAAAAATGCAGGAGGAAGAGGGGTTAGCCTGAGAACCTCTTAGGGGCTGCAGTTCTGGGTTCCTTCCCTACATTTTCAAGGGTAACCTCTAAGAAGCCACCAAATTCTCACTGTGAAAAGTCAAGGAAAAAAAAATCACTTCATGTCTCAGATAGGCTGACTATTCTAAAACAAGTCCACAAAGCCTTCTCCCTAACGAGGGTTAATTCTTCAGGTGGACTTTCTGGGGACTAACCACACCTGGGGAAGGGCACTCCTTACTCCTCCAGTCTTCCTGTTTTACCCAAGGGACAAAAAAAAAAAAAAAAAAAAAAAAAAATCCTTAAAATACTTGTGAAAGTCATGGCTCAAGGACACATGTCACTCCGGGGCTAACATCAACCCCCTAAGTACAGATGGTTTCCCTCCCCACATCTACCATCACACCAAGGGCTCCAGTATGGGCAAGGATGACAGCACAAAGAGAGTCAAGGGCACTGGAGTGCTAGAGGGTTTGGAGAAACCAAAGGTAGCCTGTAGACAGAACCTGTAGCCACAGCAGAGATTAAACTATGCCTGACTTAGACACGTTAGGTGATAACCCACCTTCATTACCTTGGCTTCTGCCATCTGATATGATGCACTCAACTCAGTGCTAAGCAGATATTCCAGAACACTGCTCTGATCAAGTTCCTGCACGAGCTCAGATGACTACCCCGCCCCCAAAAAAGATCAAGAGTCACTCATGCTGCCATTCCCAAGCATGGCACTATCAAGGTATCAGCTGATGAGTTCCTTTCAGCATATACCACAAGGGTAAAAGGCTGCTTTCCTTCCTTTTGGAAGCCCTCTTCACTCTCAGGTGGTGCAGGTCAAAGTAGCCCTCTTTCCCTTGACTCCTTTTCCAACCCTGGCATTCTTCACACTGAGTGGGAAGGAGCAGGACATGTTGCTGATGTTGTCCGCCATCTTCCTTCCTCATCTGAGCGACAGATAGCCAGGTTATTGCTTTCTCCAGAACTGTGAATTCCCCTGTCCCTGATTTATGGCGAGTTTTAGTTTGTGAGTATCCATTGCTTTGAGACTGGACTTGCATCAAGTTGACTTGATGGGTTTAGCTCCAGACTGAAACCAAGTTTAACCGTGGAGGGCTTAGGAGTCAGTTGATTAAGACTGGATTTCACCCCTGACACACAGAGAAGTCCAATACAGTAAAGGTGCTTTCTGGGTAAGCACTGTGCCTTCAGTAACCCACAATGCAGCTCCTCTGACCTACTCCCCAACATGTACTCTCAAAAAGTCTTGAGTTTAATCCTTAGACTTTCAAACAAAAAACAAAACAAAACAAAAGAAACAACTTACTTTCCTTTGTAATAAAAACTGCACTTTTTTTTTGTCTTTTTGAGACAAGGTCTCCCTGTAGCCCCAGCTGATCTGGAACTTGCTATGTAGACCAGGCTGGCCTCGAACTCACAGAGATCTGCCTGCCTCTGCCTCTCGAGTGCTGGGATTAAAGGCGTGCACCACCACACCTGGCAAATATTGGTCTTTTATACTCACTCTCAGACCAAAGATGCTGGCTACCTAATGGTACATTAAACTGAATCTGTCTCCAGCAATTAGACCTTCTTTGTCATAACTTAATTGTTATACAGGGAACTGGAAACAAAACTCTCTGGAAATATTTTCTACTAAAACTAAGGTTTATTCTTTAATGTGAATCAATAAAACATACCTCACCTCTGACCTCTTTGCCTTCTTTCTTCAGGGCCTCTTAATGTTTAGGCTGAGCTCTGTGTCCCTACGTGTAAAATTTCCCACCTTGATTAATGTAATCATGTCAAATGTTCTTTGAATCTCAATCTCTCAGTGTCTCTCTCTCTCTCTTAAATCTTTTGGAGACAGGGTCTCCTGTAGCCCCAGCTGGCCTGGAACTCTCTATGTAGACCAGGCTGGTCTTGAACTCAGAGATCTCACAGATCTGCCAGCCTCTGCCTCCCGAGTGCTGTGATTAAAGGCATGTGCCACCACGCCTGGCTTTTTATTTTTAAACAGAGTCTCATGCAGCCCAGACTGGCCTGGAATTCAGTTATGTGGCTGAGGACGACTTTGAACTTCTAATCCTCCTGCCTCCATCTCCCAAGGTGCTGGCATTATAGACCTGTGCCACAACACTTTTTTTTTTTTTTTTTTTTCTGTGCTGGGGATGGAACCCAGGGCTTTGTGCATGCTAGGCAAACACTTTACCAATTGTGCCATATCCCAGCCAGTTCTCTGAGCTTCTTCTGTTACAGTGTTCATTACTGCTTTTATGAACTACTTATATGTTATTTTGTTTCGTGGTCAGCTGTTAGCCTATTAGCCTGGAATATGTGTTATCCTTCTTTAGATACATAATCCTCCCAAAAGGTTTACTTCAAACTGTCTAGTAAATAAAAGTAAATCAAAAAAGTAAACTGAGTCTTAATTCTTTTTAATTCGTAAGATGTAAAGGTAATCTAAAAAAAAAAAATCAGTTATTTTCAATTTGTGAAGATAAAATAAGGTTAATAGTATTATACAAACGATGCCACCAGACAAGTTACATAGCTATTAAAAAATTTAACCAGGCCAGGCATATCTGTGAGTTCAAGGCCAGCCTGGTCTACGTAGTGAGTTCTAGGCCACCAGCCAGGGGATACCCTGTCTTAAAAAAAAAAAAAAAAAAAAATTAATCAGTAAAGGTTTGTTTCACTACCTTTCTCTAGCTAGATCTGTTTTGTAAAAGACAAAAAAAAAAAAAAAAAAAAAAAAGACAAGAAGTGATCATATGTGGCCTATGTCCAAGCTTTTATGGCTTTAAGAGAAAAGCCTAAATTACATCAGGAATTTTATAAGAGAAAGACAGAAAGGAACAAGCAAGTATAGGAAAGACAGATAAACGGTTGTAGGTTCAAAAATACATTTCTGATAAAAGGAAATGTGTTTGGATAAGACAGGATTTTGAGGGACCAGCCAGATAGCTCAGCAAAAAAAGGCACTTGCTGCTAAGGCTGCCAAGCCTGACCTGAGTTTGATCCCTGGGACTGACATGGTGGAAGGAGAGAACCAATTCCTACAAATTGTCCTCAGATCTCCCTAAGTATGCTGTGGTGCACATGAAGGTACATAAACAAAACGAAAATAAAAATAAATAAAAAATATTTTTAGAAGAAAGGATTTTGTGTTCACTTTGGCAGCACATACACTAAAACTGGAACAATAATACAGAGAAGATTAGCAGGGCCCCTGCGTAAGGATGACATGCAAACTCGTAAAGAGGTCCATATTAAAATAAATAATTAGGGGCTGAAGAGATGGCTCAGCATTTAAGAACACTGGTTGTTCTTGCAGAAGGCCCAGGTTTGAATTCTAGCACCCACATGGCAGCTAACAACTGTCCTTAACTCCAGTCCCAGGGGATCTGACAGCCTCTTCTGACCTCCTCAGACATTGCACGACACAGGTGCACTTACCTACATGCAGGCAATACACACATACACATAAAATAAAAACAACAAATAAAATATTTTTTAAAATGTAGTAAGTTTTTTTATGGCTTAAAATAAGCTGTGACTATTCACCAGCAGTCATTTTTTTTTATTGAATTGTTTGTTGTGAATTTACCAGTTTGTACTAATCTTTTTCACTAAAAATTATCTTACATATGCCTTCTTACAAAATGGACCTCTTGGGACTGGAGAGGTAGCTCAGCAGTTAAGAGCACTGGCTGCTCTTGCAGAGGACTCAGGTTCAATTCTCAGCACCCACATGGCGGCTAACAACCGTCTATTATAACCAGTTCCAGAGGATCTGATGCCCTCTCCTGACCTTCATGGACACTGCATAACACGGGTACATCTACCTACATGAAGGCAATATACTCATACACATAAAATAAAAATAATAAAAAATGTCTGGGCATGGTGGCACACCAGGGTGACTTGCTACTATTATAAATTTTATACTGTGGGACTGGAGAGATGCCCCAGTAGTTAGGAGCACTGGCTGCTCTTGCAGAGGGTCTGAGGTCGATTCCCAGTATCTACATGGTGCCTAACTACTGTTCAAAACTCCCTTCTGACCTCTGTGGGCACCATACGACATAGGTACACTTACATACATGTAGGCAATACACTCAGACATAAAATAACACCATAAAGTATTTAAAAACTAAAATTTATTTTGTTATAAAAAATTTTATTTTTACTTTTTTTTTTTTTTGGTCTTTTTGAGACAGGGTCTCCCTGTAGCCTCAGCTGACCCAGAACTCGCTATGTAGACCAGGCTGGTCTCGAACTCAAAGAGATCCACCTGCCTCTGCCTCCCAAGTGCTGGGATTACATGCGCCACCACGCCCAGCTTATTTTTACATTTTATTTGTGTCTGTCTGTCTCTGCTTTTGTGTGTTTGTGTGCTGTGTATCATGACATGCACATGTGAGGATCAGAGGGTCAGAAGCAAACTTGTGGGAGCTGGTAAAATTATTTGTAATTCTGAAGTCAGAGAGATCACCCTTCAGAAGCTAGGAAGAAATAATGACTTTCTCAAGCAAAGATTAGAAAATTTATTTCCAATAGCCCTTTTCTGAAAGAAATAAGGGAAAGTACATGATATAGGTCAGAAACTCAAATATAAATCAAAAGAAAGAGCACTAACAAAGAAGTGGAGGCATGATGAAGCGTCTCCCCTCCGTTTGCCATGCTGAGGGTCAAACTCAGGCTAGGTTTTCTTAACCAATTTTTTCTTTCTTGAGACTTTTTCGAGTTCAAAGTTAGGCTGAACTACATAGTAAAGGTAAAGAAAAACTACATCAATACACTAAAAAAAAAAAAAAAAAGCAATAAAGATACATTAATGTCAGACAAAAGAGACACCAGAACAAGGAAAATTATGAGGGATAAAGGTCATTACATAATAAAAAGAGGTCTCAGTTCTCCAGAAATCAGTCTTTAAGGCAAATGTCTTTAAATAGCAGATGACTGAAATTTTTTTTGTCATTTTGGAGACAGGGTTTCTTTATGGTAGGCCAGCTTGGCCTCAAATTCACAGAGATCCACCTGCTTCTGTCTCCAGAGTGTTGGGATTAAAGGTGTGTGCCACCACATCCAGCAGCATTGAAAAGTATGGGACAAAAGTGACAGGACTATTGAAGCAGGTAAACCTGTCACAGAAGCAGGAGGCAGCATCCTCTGCCAGAAAAGAACAGATACAGAAAGCAGAAAAATCAGTGATACAGGGCTGTAGCAGATATCTTAAGGTTGTTCTATTCAACAAGAGCAGAATGCATGTTCATCTTAAATTCACATGGAATGTTAACCAAAAAGGTAACTACCTTCAGGGCCATAAAACACAACAAACCTCAAAGAACAGAGATCATACAATGCCTTTCAGACCACAATGGAATTAGAAATCATAACTCTCAAGGCAAGGTATAGGGGTGTGTGTGGGAGATGGGTGTAAGGGGGGGTGGGGTTTCCCAGCTCTTCCCAGTGTGCTACCCCCTCAGTACTCTGTATGTTTGTCAGTCCACAAGTTCTGTTAACTTCTTTATGTTTTGTGGGGGCCTCATCACATGCGCATCACTGATCAAATCACTGGCTGCTGGTGATTAACTCAGTCTCTAGCCCCTTTCTCCTGGGTAGTATCCCTCCAATCACATGTTTGGGTCCTGTGGTGACTAGCCTTTCTCTTGGAGGAGTTGCAGCAGTAGTACAAACTCAGGTGTTTGTTATTAACTGAAGATGCTCTGTCACCCCTAACACAGGATTCCAAGCATTTAAGGAGCTCTGTGCCAGCATATTTCTTACGTCACAATGCCTGTCACATGTACTGAATGGTGAGAAACCAGAAGTTTTCCCTCTACGCTCAGGACCAATGCAAAGATACTGTTTATGACCACCGGCTTCCCCCACCCACCTCTCTGGTTTTTTTTTTTTTTTTTTTTTTTTTAAAAAAAAAAAAAAAAAAAAAAAAAAAAAGAGGACGATAAATCTTTCACTGTGATATATCAAAATAA